ATATTAAACAAGCATAAACTAAATAACATGCATTAACTAAAGTATTCAGTGATGTGATACATGGGGAGAATGTCTTTATTACAACACTATAGCTGTATGTAAATAATCCTGAAGACATTACTAAAGCACCAGTCACAAGGAATAAACACTTTTTGATTAGAAGCATGTCAAAAAGAAATAAAGTAATGATAATATGAAGGAAATAAATTAAACAAAAACATATTTTCGATAAGGTACTCTCCCTCTTCACACAAAATTAGCTTTTCTCCGTTGTGCTGCCTTCTGTATTTGAACCTTTTCAGAAATTCATGCCACAAGCCTTCATCATCCCTCTGTTGAAATCCAAAGTTCCAATACATCTCTCATGCAAATCATCATGTGTCACCTCTCCATCAATGGAAAAACACTACTATCACGTGATGTATGTGACTCCTTGTAGTGGTTTATTTTTAATTTTTTATATTTTTCTTTATTTACTACAATTCACAGTTGTGGAGTTAATATTTTATGTTTGCTGCTTATGAATTCTGAAGTTACAGTTACCACTTTGGATACTTTGCCAGCATCTGATGCCGTATTTACAGCCACAGGTATGGGCTCTTCCCTCAAGGGATATATTGTCGCTCACTCACCGGGGGATTGAGCAGTATAGGAGCCAACCTCTCTTGCCTCCTTCTGCCCCACTTCCTCCTGAGCTTTTTGAGCTGTGCCAGGCTGACGACAATTTTGATTCTTTGTCCTCATGGAGTTTGCTGTACCTTCCAGTACACTACCAGATGATTCAGCTCATCCGTCATCAGTCTTTTCAGACTTTATCTATCAGGAATGTGATGTTTTGTGCCTGGCATCTGTTTCCAAATGGCACCATTTTTACGGCGTTATGTGTTTGACTCAGTTCCTGAGTCTTTGGAGTCACGGGTGACCTCAGCCTATCAACATTCTATCCTTACTAACTTGGTAGATTGTTTGTTGCATTCGGGGCAGAGTGCAGCACCAGTTCCTGTCTTCTGACCTTCCCTTCCTAACCTCTTTTTTTCCCACTCTCCTGCTGTGACATGGTTCGATGATTTACTTGATGATTCACGATCTTCCAACAACAGTACCAGTGACTACGTGGTTGGTTAGGGCCCAGTGGGGTCTTGTCTCATGAATTTCGTTGATTGGTAGGAACCTTTTCTCACCAATGTCTGGGTTCACAGAGTTCTCTTGGAGGGATACGTTATTCCCTTTCTCTCTCTGTTCAGGGCTGGAGTGCCTGGGTGGATCACCAGGAGGTTTTGGGTTATTGTTCTGTGGAGGAGAGTTCTCTTCACATCAGTGTTCTTGAACTCCTGGCTGTTCATTGGGCTTTGGATCATTTTCATTCTCTTGCCAGCTGCTGGCTGGTTATGATCCATTCCAGCAATTCTACCGTGGTGGCTTATATAAAATCTATCACCTTACCTTCAACCTTGTCTCTCATCTTCCTCAGCCATTGGAGGAGATTCTACGATCAGGCATGTGGCTGACTCTGTACACGTTCATCTCCCACTACCTACAGCACATTGCTGTTTCTGCTTCCTCAGGGTATTGCTTGCTATTCGTGGCTATTCTACAGACTTTGGTGTGGCTATGACACAAGGTAAGTCTTTACTAATGCTTTCTTTTCTCTGAGGCGAGTGGATCCTGACCAGGTTTTCTGTCTGTACTCAGATTGGGTTCCACATAGATGGCTATAACCATTTGCAGATATCTTGCTATGAAATCTACACTGTAAGCCATGTTGATTCTATGCATTTTCCATGGCTATGTATGCTCACCCACGAGATTGGGTGTTTCAAAAGATCACTAGAGTGTAAGTTCCTCATGATAATGGTGTCATAAAATGCCTGTTTCAGACTGTACCACCCATGGATGGCATGGGGAAAGCAGAAGGGGATTGCTGCCCATCCCTGTCATGCCTAGATTGAATAAATCAGTGTTGTCTGCTTTTAAAAATAGGGTTTTGTGATCACTCATTGCACTGTCTTGGGTGTTGGAGTCCCTCTGGATTCTCCACTGCACTTTTTCCCCCTTTTTTCCAGTGGAGTATGAGAGTCCTTACCACTTACCAGTTCCAAGCCACTGGGGTGGTTGATCATGGAGGCAACCTGCTGGATGGGTTCCACGATGATGGCTTAAACCATTGAGTTCAGAGTAGGGTGGTGGTGTTCTGCCGGTTTAGAGGGAGTTGCAAGATCTTCCAGATGAGTAACTAATTCCTGGAGTTGAGATGCCCAAATGCAGTTCACCCTTCAAATTGGGTGCCCTCCTCCAACACTCGCATGGATGTCACAACCCAGCAAGCGAGGTTTTGGAAATCGAGTGAACCAATCACATAAGTCCTCACACAGGTTTCAGGTTGTCCATCTTCCTCTCCTTACTTGTCCTCTGTGTTGTGGGTTGCAGAAGGTCTACGTGGCCTGTTTCCACTTCTGTCCTGGGTCTTCCCTCGTTTGATGATATGGTTGTTACCAACCTGGGGTTGTTTTGGGCTGGTTTCATGGTCACGGTGGTTGAGTGCATGTGATGGACTCCCTTGGATTCTGGATGACACACTCCCAGATCCCTGACATTAGTCTACCCTGAGAGTTCTTGGACAGTATGATCCTCATTCTACCTTCATGAGAATGTCGGTACCCAGCGAGTGAGGTTTTGTATGTAGTTGACTTACCGAGTATGGTTCGTCGTGCCCTTGCCACTCTACACCATGGGACACCTCCTCACTTGCCCACTTTCCATTGCAGGATGGAGTGATTCTGTATAAGGTCTCATTGTTAAACTATCCTCTCTCACACTGATGTGCACCCTTCATGTTCTGCCATGTCTGGTCCTCCTGATCATGTCGATGTTCCTAGCAAAGAGATAACTGGCTCAGATGTGGTGTGGAGCCCCTCCTCAGATCATCTGATCTGTTCCTCTCATGTCAAGGATGTACTCCAGATGCTTCTCTCGCACTGTTCCTTCCTCCATTTCAATGTAGGATTCAAGCTAATTTTGTGAGAAGAGGGAGAATACCTTATCAGAAGTTATAATTTTCCTAAATGAAAATGTATTTCTGATGGGTACTTCCCTCCACTCACACTTCTCGCCCGTCCTCCCCACGATCTTCCAGTGTTCGCATCTTCTGCCAAACTTTGAAGTGATTGTTCGGTAGTTGTATGCATCATGTGATAGTAGTGCTCTCCTATTGGTGGAGAGATGATGCAAGATGATTTGCACGAGAGCAGCACAAAATGAGAAAAGCTAATCTTGTGAGCGGAGGAAAGTACCTATCGGAAATACATTTTCTATAAGGAAAAGTATAACTTCCAGAAATGTTTGTTTTACACTGATAAATGTATGTTTGTATGTATATATTCAGAGCAGAGGCATTGCTAGGCATTAGCACAACAGGCCATTTTCCCAATTCTATTTGACAGTGCCCTGAATCCCCAGTTGGTGTCTTGAAATATCAGAATTAAAAGCCATGATCGATATCATACTGAAACACTGAAAATTCCTGTACCTGTGGGCCTGAGCCCCAAATCTTATAAGCACCTAGTGATGCCTCTGATTCAGTAGGTGATATATCGAGTAATTGAGTACTGTTGTGAGAAATAAAATAATGGGTTAGAGAGGGTTAGTTGATATTTTACATTTCTTATGTGTGTATGAATATATCTATATATATATATTTTACTATATATATATAGTTGTGGTTCTGGGCTTAGCGGTCAAACATTAGAAGAGTCTGGTCACTTTTGGATTGGTGTGGACATAAGTTCTGCCATGCTGAGTGAGTTTTCAATTTGATTTTTGCTGTGCATAACAGTTTTGTATTTACTTAAGTAATTTCTCCATTACAAGTATTACAAATTTTGATTTTGAAAAATAATAAAAAATAATGTAAATTTAACCATGAATTTCTTTGCAGTCTACTCCCCTGTTGCGTAAGATATTTAGAAAATCCATTATAAAAAAAGTGTTGATAATTATGTATTAAACTCTTTCACTTTTATATACTTTAAAATGTAACATTTACATGCCACTTTTCCAGTAATCATAGATTGTACAATATAATATGTTCTATTGAAGTAAAGTACAAAAAATTTACTCATCAATCATGTAATATTTTTTATTAAATCTCAACTTTTTCCAAAAAATTAAGAATACTTACTTCACTTAAATTTCCCTTTGTATTAATTCTAATTTACAGCTCTTTACAAGGTTTAGTATCATTTATCATACATTTTTATAGATGTAGTGAGTAGTTTTTATTTTCCCAAATTATATATTTTTGATAACTTAAAATTTTATATCTCTAAAATTTGTTCAAATAAATTAAACTTCAAAAATGTTTTGCAAAATATTTACAGTTTCAAACTATTTTACCCCAGTTTAAAGAGTCTTTCTTTTGTTTACTGACAGAATTTTGAATTCCAAAAAATATGTGAAAATAGTACATTTTTATTTATTAGATAGTTACAGAAATTGATATCTTTCCAGGATGTCAAAGACAAAATATATATTTGCATGTAGTTTTAGCTTGATCTGTGACAGAAGTTATGTAATTTTGTGTAAATGGTTGTGCTGATAATAAAATATACATTGACAAGTAAGTCTGAAAATTACAAAACTAAATGGAATTATTAGAGTTATGAATCAGATATATTCTGATTTTCCAGGTGTGGCGTTAGAAAGAGAAGTAGAAGGTGACATGATGCTTGGAGATATGGGCCAAGGAATGTGTTTTAGAGCTGGATCATTTGATGGTGCTATCAGGTAAAAAATTTATTAACTCTATCACTGCAGGTCTTCCTATGGTCAGGGGTCAAAGGGCATGTCATCACATTTGTAGATTTACATTTAAAATTTTATTGAACTACTATTTTATGAATTTATGCCAGTAAGTTTGGTATCAAATTGTAGATTATAATTAAAATGTTAATATTATAAAGCAGTTAATTTCTTAATTTATAAGTAAATATTAAAAAAAAACACCTACATGGTGTTACATGGTATGCTGAATGTAACTTTGGTTCATATTAGATGTCCAATTACAAAGTCTACAAATTAGAAACTTAAATTACCAATATTGACAAGCTAGAATATAAAATAAGAACCTTCTATCTTTTATATTTACTGATATATCACTATATTTAGCAAATCAAACACAGTGGCCCTGCCCACCTCTTCCATTTTTGGAAATACTTCCTTACTTATGCCCTATTCACTCTTTCATGGCTTTATAACCAATTAAAAGCTCAGAATTTTCTCCACATGATTTTCTCATCTTCTTGAAGGTGGGAAGTTCTCAAGATTATTTCTTTTGTATCTAATCTTGGAAGGAAAGGGTAAATGAAAATGAAAATATAGTTTAGTTAGTAAGCCTGATTACTTTAAAAAGCTTAAAACGTAATAAAAAAAAACTGATATTTTGTGTACAAAATCTTTGTAATTTTTACTGATAATCTGCAAACTTTTGTGAAGGTATACATACTGTATTAAAAATTATAGTATGAAAACTATAACAAGCACAAAATGGTTACAAGGTCAGTCCCTGGGACTGAGCCTGTAGTGAGAGAGAGTTAATTACTTATTGTTTTAATGGTTTTGCATGTAATGAATAAGAACATAAATTTCATATTTCAAAGTCTATCTAGAAATACATGGTTTGTTTCACGTACAAGAGTATGTATAAAGTTTTTTGTTTTTTCTAACATATGAACCTGTGAGAGACAGTTCAAAAGTAAACATTAGGACAGCATTCACCCATAACACTGTCTTTGGTCTGTTCCTTTTTGTAGAGGTAATGCAACTATTATAGGAAACATATACCTTAACATTCTACAGAATTTTGTTTCGCAACAGTTGAAGACATTGCAACCTAATGTGTCATTCCAGCAGGAGACTGCCCATTTGTACTGTTACAAGTCTGGACGAATTGTGTCAACATATCTAAGAAATATTTGCAAAGGTTACTCCTGAAATGTTGCAAAACATTTGGCAAGAGATTGGGTACAGACTGGACATTTTACATGTAATTTGTGGTGCACGTGTTGAACTATGGTGATTGCATGCTGTAAAAAATCTTTAAACATTATTCTTGCATGTGCAACAAACCATGTGTCTCTATGTTAAATGGTTTTCCTGGTATTATTTTTGAAAAGTGCTTCCAAAATTGTTGGACACCGTGTTTATATAAGCTTGTGCAATTTAGTTTTATGTTTATTGCTTGAAGGTAACTCTAAGAGAAATGAATACTTGCTAGTAAAGCCTGAGTTTTTGTTTTCATGATTAATTTATCCACATTATATATTTAAAACAGCAGAGGTATTGTTTTCATTCTTGTGTGTTTGTGTGAACATTATAATTCGAAAAATTTTAATTTAATTGTGATCAAATTTTGGTAAAGATTGAGTGTCTCCCTAAGGATCAGTTAATTAACTGATGGTAAATGTAGTCACTGTTACACTGAAGGGTGGGCTGTGTGCAGCCAAGTGGTTGATGTGCCAGATTGAGGTTCCATAATTTGTGTCCTGTTACTGCCATAAAAGCTATCATGCTCCATACATTATAAAAGTGGTTGTCAAATCCCACTGTTCAGCCTGACGAGAGTATTGTTGACTAGCCGTTTTCACTTTAATTTATCATTTAAAAGTTAGGGATGGCTTGCTCAGGTAATTTTTGTGCATTTTTATGCAACATTCAATAAAACAAACTGAAGAATAGCCACTTTCATTATAATATTATTTTAGTAAATTGAGATAGAAGGAAGATATTGGCACCTAGACCTATCTTTTTTTATAAATTGTTCGATTTATATTTTAGGTTGGTTACTGCAAATATTTAAAAAATTTGGGGGGCAGGGTTGCAGTCTCTGAATGTTTTTTTAGTTACCTTTGTAAAGCTGTTTTAATCATAAGATAATTTCTAAAAAATAGTGATTAATATTTACTTCTTTGAACTTCAGTTTTATTAATATCATTTCTTCTAATATTCAAAGCTGTCACACACTGCACAATCATCCTGCATTCTGCAATAGAAATTTATTAGATATTTTAACCCATTTCATATTAATTTTAGACTGCCAAATTCTTAACAAAGAAGAAAAGTTTACTTTCTGTTTTATTTTAATGAGATAGCACAGATTGAGTTTAACATAAACACTTTGCAACTTTACTACATGTAGTCATAAATTCCAAGATAATACTTTACCTTCTCACACAGAAGTTTGATTCCTTTTTATGTCTGCCTATGAGCCTTGCATGCCACTAGCCTTGAGCTACCTTCCACCTAAAAAATGTGTTTAACATGAACTGTGCTAGTGCTTGATGTCATCATCATGTGACAATACAACCTCCTTGCTCAGTAGCTCCCCCAAAGCACTTGTGCCTGAATTAACTTCATTCTTTTCCTCAGCATTGTCCAGAATGGACGTGTTCCAAAATTTTTAATCAATTACTTGAGATTTGTGGTTGTTTACAACCAAGTTAATTTTTGTTTAAGTTTACCCGGTTTAGTGTTAATGTTTTACATAACCAGCATGGTTTCTTTAATTTCACTTAGAAAAGAAAACGTGGTACTTACCCATATTTATGAATTCCCAAGTGACAGTAACTTCCACTTTGCTCCATGATAGTGACAATGTTTCTAACACAGGACCTGTATCTACTATAGCCACTGGAGGTTTGTTGTCTGTGGAGGACGTTACTTTCGTTTGTAGATGTGTTGTGGGTTCCTTCATACATGCTGGACCTCCTCCTCCTGTCCTTTTGGCTGACATTCCTTCTCCACAGTTTGAACATAACCAGGATGATGATGATTTTGACTGGTCATTTTCCCCCTCCAGGTTAGCTCTAAGCTTAGCTTTTTCTACGGAGGAAAATCCTCACCTTTCTAATCTCTTCCTTGACATGATTTTGCATGTATGTTCCCTTTTTCTTTTTTTCCCTCTTTGTCTTTCGATTCCTCTTGTGCTTTACTACATGAAATCCATACTTCAGACCTCTTTTATTTTTTCCTCCTTTGCCTGATATTGTGGTCCATGCAGACTCGTTTCTCCAACAGCTGTGCATCTGTACTAATATGTCTTGTCCTCCTTGTCTACTTGACTCTTTTGTCCTGGCTTACAGCCATTCTTCATTTCAATTCCTTGATTCCCAGTCTTTGAATTGTATGTACATGCTTGGGGTGGATCTCTCAACTTCTATTTCCCTTTCTAGTGCCGAATTTTCACGATTTTGTCTCTTTGTCACCTTCCTGCATTACCTGTCATCACTTCACCTTATTTCTGAGGCAATTCATCGACCTCTGGGGGTTTGTTCTCTTCTTTTCACCACATTGGCCCATACTTCTTCCACTCTATCCCACTTCACATGATTCCTCTGCTGTTCAGGTGAGGTGCTCTCCTAGCTAATGTATGCTTCTCTCTGTGATCTTAGTTGGCTTCTTTTCTTTATCTGGAGATCTTCAGAGGTGTTCCTGAGTCACTGGAGACCCAAGTCAAGGTGGCTCAGCATCAATCTTCATTGTCTACTTTGGTTTCTTGTCTTTCTCAACCTCACCCTTCTGTTTCTGCTCCTAGGCCTGCTGAATTCATATATCCTCTTCCCATTCCAGCTTCTGAGCCTTGTTCTTCTTCCCATCTTTCCATATCCTGTGTTAGGGTCATCACTTGTCTCGTGTGATTTTATATGCTCTTACATGTGCTCCATTCAAACCACTGGCTTCATGCTCTTTATACTATTTTTCTCCAAAGACTCCTTTCCTTTTCGTCCTTGTCTCTGGTTGTCATTGTTTGGATGCAAGTGCCATATTGATGCTTACTGCACTCTTTTATTCACCACATTTATTTACTTCTCTATCCTGACCAGGCCTTTCTTCCTAATACTTTGACTACTCAAGAAGGTAATCGGTCTTTCTCTTTTGTCTCACTCCCTTTGTTTTCTCCTCTCTGTGCTTGTTTGGACCCAGATTGTTTTCTGTATGGGCTATTTCTGTGTTACTTGAAATGTACATCTCCTTTCTGGGGTTCCCATCACTGTTTGTTTCTACCTTAGGACCCCTCTTTGTCCAGGGGCATCTCGCCTTCTACCCTTACAGGATGGGTTTGTCAGCTGCTCTGGTTGGTGTATTCTTTCCTGAATATTGATGCTTCCAGCTTTTTCAGAGCCAGGCATGTGGACAACTCTGCAAACATTTGTCTCCCATTATCGGAATCGTCTTGATTTTTTTCATCTCTGGCAGAATTTCCACTCCTTCCAGTTGCTGTTCTTCAATCTACACACTGTCTTTGAGAAGGATAAGTACATTTTCTTCCCTGTTATAGTATCCAGCCAGATGGCTGGTGTTGCCTCCCATGGTATGCTTATTTCCCAAAATCTGCATCAGGCCAGGGGTAACAGAAAGTGCTCAACTCATCTGCCTTGGCTCTGCTTTTGCCTACTGTTGAGACAAGACCATTAGAGGTATCTTCATGGTATAAGAATTACTCAATTGCTTGATCCAGACCATACTTTTCATGGAGTATCATGAAATAAACTGGCACCAGGAAACTTTTAAAAATAGGGTTTCATGGTCTCCAGTAAAAGATCTGATGGGGATCTGGGTATTCAGGTCTCCCAAATGTGAATTCTCCCCCCCCCCTTCTTCAAGAAGATCATGGGAGACCCTTGCCCCTTACCAGTTCCCAGCCACTGGAGTGATGGGCTTTGGGGAGTTCCTCACTAAATATCTACAGCACAATACAGTGAAAAGTAGGGCATTGGTGGCATTGTCTGTGTACTGAGAGTAACCCCTCAAACAACTGATGTGCCCTCCACCTGCAGCAGGATGGGTTCATCACCTTCTTCTCTCTGTCCAGTTGATTCAAGGTCATACACATGGCATATATTCTGAAAGCACCCTAGTCACACTACACTTCTTGGCTTGCTGACTGCTTCTGTGCTAGTGCTCAGTTTGTCATGTGCAATTTCCACCCATCCCACCCATAATGTTGATCTGAAAACCGGGGATAGGCTCTTATGCTTTGGAACCTGGAATATAAGAACTCTTTTTCAAGATGGCAAATTGGACAATGAAATACAAAAAATGAATAATATGAACCTAGATGTACTAGGACTAGTGAAAACCATATGGATTGAAAGTGGAAAGATCATCAAGGAAGATCACATCATAGTGTATTCAGGTGGAGAAGGACATAAGAATGGAGTAGGCATCATACTAAAGAAGTGTGTAGCTAAAGCAATGATTAGTTTTGGGGCTATATCAGGAAGAGTAATCATGATAAAACTACAAAGAAAACCATTTAACATCAACATAATACAAGTATATGCACCCACACAAGATCGTGATAATGATGAAATTGCACAATTTTATGAATAAATACAGAAGGCTATGAAATATGTTAAAGCAGGTGATGTAATATGCATTATGGGAGATCTAAATGCAAAAGTTGGAAGAGAAGTTTTTTCCAACATAGTTGGAAAATTTAGGCTCGGATATATAAGAATGAATTAGGAGAAAGGCTAATACAATTCTGCCAACAAAATAATCTGATAACTACCATCACAAGAAATTAAATAGATTAGATACTGATAAATTAAAGATTTCACAACAATGTGAAATTAGTAAAGACATACCCAGGAGCTGGTGTCAGCTCTGATCATAATCTAACCTTGATATTATAACTGACCTTTGTAATGTAATATATAACACTGGATACATACCAACCAAAATGAAACAATATATATTTGTTCCACTACCGAAAAAACCAAAGCACAGAACTGTACAAACTTCAGAAAAATCACTCTAATGAGTCGTATCACCAAACTACTCCTGAAAGTAATACAGCAACAAATAGCAACCAAAATAGACCAAAAAGTAAGCAACTTGCAGAGTGGGTTCAGACCAGGATGTGGCACAAGGGAAGGTATTTTTAATCTGTGAACATGCCTTAGAGGTCCAACAAAATGTATACATATGCTTCATAGATTACACTAAGGCTTTTGATAGGGTACAACACTTAAAGATGAAAGAATGCTTATGGGAAATAGTAATTGATGAGAAAGATCTCCAGATCATCACAATGATATATTGGGAACAAACAGCAGTAGTAAGAATATAACAGGGAATAACACCAGAGTTTAAGATCAAGAAAGGCGTAAGACAAGGATGTGTATTATCGTCTAGTTTATTCAAACTATACACAGAAAGAATATTTAGAGAAATAGAACATATAAAGGGAGTAGTGATTGGTGGAATTAATATCAACAATCTAAGATATGCAGATGACACAGCACTACTAACTCTAAGTGTATCAGATCTACAAGAGTTAGTAAATGAAAAAGGAAAAGACTATGGAATGGAGCTGAATACTAAAAAGACCAAATCAATGGTAATAACTGAGAATCAAGATGTACCTAAAATCAATCTAACTATAGAGAGAACATGAATTGAACAATAGGACGCATGAGCACTGAAGATGGTAAGAGCAAAGTTGGAATTCAAAGAAAAATAGAAATAGCCTAGAGTTAATTTAACAACATTTCAAAAATATTAACATCAAGAAACATTAACATAACAACACGGATGAAACTAGTCAAATGCTATGTGTAGTCAACCCTACTATATGGTGCTGAAACGTGGACAATATCTAAAATGATTGGTAAAAAGAATAAGGAATTTGAAATGTGGATTTATAGGAGATAATGAAAATATCTTGGACAAAACATAAAACAAATTAACAAGTATGAGAAATGATGAAAACTAAAGGAACACTATTATCAATTACTGAGAAAAGAAAATGTGAGGTCTTTGATCATATAATTAGAAGAAATGGAATATAAAGACTGTTGCTAGAAAGAAAAATGAATGGAAAAAGAGGAAGAGGCAAACCAAGAAACATGTGGATGGATAACATCAAAGATTGGATGGGAACATCATATAGTAACTGTGTTAGAATGGTGGAAAGAAAAGAACAATGGTGCTCCATGACATTCAACCTGGTTTTAGCAGATGACATGTAGGTTTTTAGAAAAAATATATACAGATATAACAGTGGTTATATAAACTTTGTATTTTTAAGAGGTAAATTACTGAATAATAAAACAAAAACTTTTCTCATCTATTGTAAACTTAAATTGTGCTACTTAATATTAGTTATTAAAGGTCAGAATATGTTATTCAAAAGCTAAGAACCTGATTTGTTTTGTTTCATTTAATAGGTGGTTTCTCTTCATGGGATAATTAAAAACAAAAGTAGCATTAACTTATGATTGTTGATAATTTAAGTAATACAATTTCTGATAAAGTTATTTATCTTTATTAAACTAAAGTATGATATTGTTTCAGTATTTCAGCTTTGCAGTGGCTTTGTAATGCTGACAAAACATCTCATAGCCCACCTAAGCGTCTCTTCAAGTTTTTTTCAACTCTGTATAGCTGTTTGGTAAGTTTATTTTATTGATTTAAAAGGTTAAGTGGAAATTATTCAGTATTAGACATTATAAAATGATTTATTGTAAAGATTATTTGCATGGTTTATATGATGTCATGATCACAAATTTTAACATTAAATAATTTAAGTTAAAATTTTTTTTAAATTAAGTACTTAATGTAGATATGCAAGATAAAGTATGACATTTTTTCATTTGGTGAAATACTGTTTTCTTTAGGTGTTTGGAATATGAAAAACATTACCATATGCTAGTTGTTCCTGAAAAATTGATAATTTGGCGAGAGATTTCTGTGGATTGCATCTGCCTTAGAAATTTTGGGAGACATTTCAAACTACTGGTGCAGATCTTCATCAGATGAAATTTACTAAGTTGTGTAGGTGAAATATTGTCATCCAAAACTTTTAAGACAGATGCAATCCACTGAAATCTCCAATCAAGTAATCTTCTTTGACTAAACCTTCTGCTAAACAAGTTACAAGTTTCAGTATCTATATTTTGAAAATGATAATTTGTTTAAAGTATATATTTATTTTATGGTTCATAATTTTGCTTAAGAGTACAGTATATGCTAATATTTTGCTCTCTTAGGGTGGAAAAATGTAATTGAAATTGTTTGAAACTGTTAATGATAGACTTGAAAAAATAAGTATTTTGTAATTTTTATTTTTCGTAAAGAAAAAGATATTTTTTCTACGTTTCAGAGCCGAGGAAGTCGAGCTGTTTTCCAGTTCTATCCAGAGAACAGTGAACAAGTAAGAAAAAATTTTGAGAGTTGGATTATGTATTTTGCAATATAACATCATGATGATACTTGAAGTATTGATATTGAACATTTTTTATATTGTGGCAGTTCAGGAGGACTGTCAGCCAGATTTAACTAGTGTGCTATTAACCCTTTTACAACAGGATTGGTATAAAATACCAAGTCAGTATACACATTTGCACTTATTAAGTATTTATACTATAACTTTTAATACTGTATGTGTATCTTCACAAAATTTGGTAGACTTTTAATAAAGTACACAAAAAATCAGATTTTTTAATGAAGTATTTTTTACTAAAGATTTGTTTGTGAATATATTGAGTGTGTTTCGTTACCAGTCCGAGTGCAAAGTAATTTTCATGTTATGGTTAAAAATACTATTCTTTGTCCCCAAAATCTCAAATTTCATTTGTGTAATCTCTAAAACCTCCTAAATATATTTCAAGTATTTGTTTTCAATAAAACTTTATATTTTATCTGTTATTTTCTCTACCATAACTCTATACAAGGTTGGTCAATTTGACCTACCTTGTCACCACCATAAAAAATCGAAATAAATCTAAATTACCCTTTTTTCTCTCTATAATGACTTTAAATTGTAACATGAAACTACATTTGTTTATCCCAAGTAACTTTAAATTTGTAACAATTTACAACTATTTATACTTAAGTTTTATTGTTTTATTGCTCTTTGAACCATGTCTAACTACTGTTTGTGCCATTATAAGTTGTAAGTCACTTGAGGGACATGGGGCTCGCGTTATGCTATCGAATTACATTACTTATAAGCTATTCGGAGCTGTTTGTGTACGTGCTTTGTGATAGTTTTTTATTATATTGTTATTATTTATTTTACTTAATCTAACCTTAACTAACCTAAAGAAATTCCTTATTTTACAGTTTAGTTACTTTTATAATAATGAATAAAGAATACACATGAAAAACAAGAAATAACATACTTACCTGGACCTTTTTTCTTTTTTTTTGTAAACTGTTGATGACACTTAACCCTACGTTTTTATACTAATGGTAATAATGCACTAAATAATTTTTATTTAATCAAATAATGTACCAAAGAACATAGAATAATCTTATGCAAAAAACAGACAATGTCACCTAACAATGACTATTTTTCTGGCTTTCTAACTATGTGACAAGAGCCATTAACAATTGAATAAGTTCATCGACGTGATTCCCGTGGGTACAAAGCATGTTCTACAAGAGAAATTGACAATTCTCTGTTCAGAAAACAATGTAATATGTCATTTGATAGATGAAAACCTTGTTTTCTATTGGTTATAAATGATTTAGTATTAAATGTAAGAGAAAACTATTAACAAATCCTGAAAGAGAGGATGCGACAGGTGGGTGTGGCAAGAGGAATCTGATTTTCTGTTTGATGGATCTGTAACCAAACAAGATTGAAGACTATTAAAATGCATTGTTTGAGTAATGACAATTTGATAATCAGTAATTTACAATAAATTGCATACTTAATGGAGGGGTGATGAATAAATTGCAGAGGAGGGGATGGCTAGAGAAAAAACATGTCTTATTTCTCACACTAGATGAAATTTAGGATTTTTTTTTAATATTGCCTTATAAAATTTAGAACTTAAAAACTTATACCATTAAAATATGGATTATTAGCTACAATTGTATGCTATACTAATTGGTATAATGTAAACAAAAAGTAGTTTAATAAAATTTTGAATGTAAGTCACTCAAAACCTCATGGCGTAAAGGGTGCTTTTACAGAGAGGGTTAAACTAAGATTTCACCTAGGACTAACATGCACACACTGTTGTAATTTAGTTTTATGTATATGAAATGTAAGATAGACATGAAACAGATTTCTTTCTGTTCTTTGTATTACAGATTAAAGGTATTCTCACACAGCAAAAACTTAAGGTTAAACATGTAATGAATCCAACCTTCTAAATATGAAAATATTACTTGCAGACCAGAGGTTATATATTTATGTATATTACTGTAATGCCTACATGCAGTGTATAAAGGTCTGTAAAATTATGGTTTTATTTTTCAATTTTAGAAGTAAGTTGTAACAATTTATTTTATGTTTATAAAAAAAAAACTTTTCAGTGCAACTTGTAAGTTATATTTAGTAGTCTCTGTCCTCCTGGTTTTTATATCAATTGATCAAAGGTATCCTTGTATTTTTTGTCTTTACTAAGTAAATTTGAATGATATACTGGCCATTTAGCTGGTGTAGACATTTTAAAACATATAAACATGTTTTTAATGTCACTTGGAAAATCCCAAATACAATCATGGTTAATACTGATAGTATTATGATACATTGTTGTAATTAAAGTATTATAGGAACTTATAGTATATATCACTTCACATTAAGTATGTAGTGATGTGAAGCAGGTACATCACTGCCCCACTCTCACACAAGTAAATTAGCAATTTGCAAAATCCTGTTTTGGCATGAAGAAATATATATATATATATATATATATATATATATATATATATAGTATGTATGTATTTATTCGTCTTCTTTTTTATTTTTTTTTACTTTTACCTTTAAAGTTATTAGTAACTTATTACTACTACAACAAGACAATAGAAA